GAAACATCAAAGATATTCTGTGTTGAAACTCAGAGTGTGATAGGTCAAGTCACTAAATTAAAAGAAATGAAATTTAGGGTACATGTTAACAGAAATATCCCCATCAGGGCTGTTAAGCAGTAGAATAGTCTGGTCTTGCCAGAAGTTTTCAGATGGCAGTTCTATGGCTAATATTCTGGAAAGGTTTAATAGTTTCCTTCAGGAAACAGGAAAAGGTCTACAAGATCCCTTCCAATTCATACATTCTGTTCTCTATGCTAGTGTTCAGCACAGAATGTATGAATTGAATTTTCTAGCACTAACTCAAGGTTTTGTGAAGATCTGTGATGTATTGGCTAATCTTAGAAAGCTAAGCAGGGCTGGACCTGGTCAGGCTAGACTGGAAAGTTAAAATTAACATCCAAGAAGAAAGCAGTGGTAAACCACTTCTATTTTGTTGCCAAGAAAACTAAAGGGATATATTCATAGTCACCAGGAGTCAAACTTGGCTTGAAAGACATGATATATACATGTAGAATTTCCTTGGAATCATGCAGTCATTTTGCATCCTGGCTTTGAAGAAAAACCCCAGGAACTATGAGCAGAATCTGGAATATTTTCTAAATCTTTTGATGGGTTAAATATTATTTTGAGGCTTTAAATCAAATTGTTTGGTATTTGTCCATATCAGAATGTTAAATGTTGACTATATTGGACAACTGTATCTCTGTTTTTATTTCTTAGAAAGTTTGAAAGTTTGTTTACAAGTTTTGCAAGATTGTGTGAGTTAACCATACCGTTGGTAGACACATGAATAAACATGTAAGATCTGCAGGGCTCTTACTAGGAAGTTCAGATGTTCTTTTCATGAAGATTTCTAATTGAATTCATATGCTGGCACTAACTATGCTGAACTCAGCTTTTATTAACAATATAAACTTTGCTTAGAGCAGTGGTGGCGAACCAATGGCACGCGTGCCAGAGGCGGCACTCAGAGCCCTCTCTGTTGGCACACGCACCACTGCCGCCAGCAGCAGGTCCATCAGGCTGCCCCCGGAGCAGGAGCCCCACTCAGCACAAAGGAGGCAAAGTGGCCAACTAGCAAGCTCGAGTAGAGGTGGTAGAGCGTGCCATTGTCGATTGGTGGACTGGAAGAAAAGGGAGGGGGAAGCATTTTACATGCATGCGCGCACCGGGCCGCGAGCACGCACATGCTGCAAATGGGGCGGGGCTAGTGCCTTTGTGATACTAGCCCTGCCCCGTTCTTGCGTGGTGCAGCGCCTTGTATCTTCACCCTGCGGCGCGCCGGTGGCCATTTTTGCACCTTGCAGCATCGTGGCCCATTTTTGCGCCCCCAGTTTTTGCGTGCCAGAGGCGGCACTCAGAGGCGCCTCCCTGCCCTCCCCTGAGAGCACCACAATGCTGATGTGGCCCTGGCACTTTGTGATAAATTAGTGGGTTTTGAGTTGTGGTTTGGGCACTCGGTCTCTAAAAGGTTCGCCATCACTGGCTTAGAGTCTTCACCATAATATTTCATACTTGCTGAAGGCCTTGGTGAAGAGTCAAGTCTTCAAGGCTCTTTTAAACACCACCAGCATGGCTACTATCTGGATCTCAGAGGGAACTTAATTCCATAGGGCAGGTGCTACTACTTAAAAGGTGCACTTCCGGGGTCCTGATAGATGGCATTGTTTAATCAAAGGAATCCAGAGCGTGCCAATACTGCCAGATTAAATGCAGATGTTATGAGAGACAGGTGATCCCTCAAGTACTAGGCCCTGTACTTTGTAGGGCTTTATAGAAATGACCAACACCTTGAATTGCAGCAGGAAGCAAGCGAGCAACAGTGCAGCTCATGAAGCAGATGTTACACGGGCATACCGAGACATGCCTATGACTGCAGGTGCATTCTGTCCAAGTGAAACTTGGTCTTCAACAGCACTCCCATATAGAGCATATGTTGTAGTAGTGAAGCCAAAACTTGCCAAACAGAAAATATTTTTCTGTTATATTCTGCAAATTTTTAATAATGGATCTACATGTTGGCATTTGAGAGAGAAAAATCCAGCTACAATACTTAGCATTGAATTTCTCAGCCTGTGATGTATTAGAGCTCTAAAATCACTGAGTGATTTTGGGCCATTCACTGTCATTCAGCCCAATCTACCTCAAATGCTTATAGTTTTTATAAGAAAAATAGAAGGTGAGTCCCAGATCTGCTGTCTTGAGCTGAACGAAAGATAGAATATAAACAAACCTTCATGCTGTATTCTCTAAGCTTGGCCTATTAAAGGATATTTTTTTCAAAATATGTAGTTGTGTGTCAGAATGAGGCTTTCTTCATTATTTACTTTCAGTGGAAAGAGTTTAGAAAATAATAGGTTATTATTGTATTGTCCTGTGTGTACCTATGTGTGTATAGTACAGGTAGTCCTCAAGTTATGACCACAATTGAGCCCAAAATTTATGTTGCTAAGTGAAACATTTGTTAAGTGAGTTTGCCCCATTTTACGACTTTTCTTGCCACAGTTGTTAAGTGAATCATTGCATTTGTTAATAAGTTAGTAACATGGTTGTTTGGTGAATCTGGCTTCCCCATTGACTTTACTTGTCAGAAAGTCACAAAAGGTGATCGCATGTCCCCGGGACACTGCAACTGTCATAAATATGAACCGGTTGCCAAGGATCTGAATTTTGATCATGTCACCATGGGGATGCTGCAACAATTGTACAGTAAATGTGACAAATGGTCATAAGCCACTTTTTTCAGTGTCATTGTAACTTTAAACGGTCATTAAAGGAACTGTTGTAAATCGAGGACTACCTGTGTACGTATCTCTCAAACATACACCCTCATTTCTGGTTTCCCTTTCTAGATGCTCTTCATGCCTACTTTGGGATTTGTGGCCTGTCTTTAATGGGTGAGTCTGGCATTCGGAAGGTTCATCCTGCCCTGAATGTAAGCACAAGAACTTCAGAACGCCTTCAACACCTTCATCACATCTGGACAACCCAGGACTCTAAACAGTCTTCAGAGGAAGTGCACAATGCCACATGACTGAGACTCCATTTGAGCTTGGTAGCATAATTGTAGCCCAAGGTTCAAAGCCATGTATAACCGATGTGCTCTTTTAAAGTACTGGTATCATAGAATCAAATTCATATACTGGCATCAACTGACAGCTTCTGGATTGGACTTTTTTTATAAAAAAAAAATTGCTTGCCTTTACAAATGCAAAGATAGAAGATTGGTTTCAGAAAAAGATCTTCAAAGCGAGATGAGTTAATTCTACTTTATTATTTTAAACAGTGCAATGGCAAACTATGATATAAAGAAACTTCAAAATGACCTTACATATTTTCATACTAAATATCTTGAAATTAGCGATACTTATGTAATAAGGACATACGGAATCTTATAAATTAAGTCTCAATTGCTAAAAGGTGTTCTTTAAGGTAGACAATAATTGTATAATCTTTGTAAAAAAAATAAAATTATTTTATTCATCATGTACTGTATTTATTTGGGGTGCACCTTAATTTAGAATTATACAGTTTGAGGAGTTCATTTAGACCATCAATTCCAGTCATTTGTTAAGTACAGCAGTCTACAGTAGTGGCCAAAATTGTGGAAACCTTTTGGGAAAAGTGTATTTTTGAGGTTTGATGGCTAATAACACCACTTTTTTTTAGTAGTACCATAACATTATATATCAATGGAAAGATAATTTAATCAAGAATGTAATGCAACATAATTTGTTCAATTATCTGTACTGTATTCTATGAAAAGTTATAGCCAGATAACCAGAAAAAGGAAGCACAACTTGCTTAGGTTGATATCAGGTAGCTTTCCTTCATCTGATTGTAGCCAATGAGCATGAGTGTTTAGAGAGCCAATCAGGTGTCATCTTGTTTTGGCAATGAGCCAATCAGATTACAGTAGGATTCAGTTATTGATGTCATGTACTGAAGCTAAGAGGAGGACATTTGTCAGTGTGTTATGTGATCGCTATCAAGTTGGTTGGGGTTTTTTTTCTTTCATTTAGTGAGCTTGTAAAATGTAATAAAATTAAATGGTGCAAAGAGTTGACTGGTTGCCCAGAAACCGATATAAAATAGTACTATTAAGTGAACAAAGTTACAATTATAAAGAAATTAGAAGAAAAATTGATGGAAACAAACCAAAGGTGGCATTTCTACTGAACACTTTTCCCAAAAGGTTTCCACAATTTTGGCCACTATTGTAAATTAAAGAGGTATTCCCCCTATTTAGACAGTACCTATGTGTTTGATTTTTGTTTCCCAAACGTATCGTTTTGTCTTTGTTGAATTACTTGTTATTTTCATCCCAGGTGTCTAATACTGTAATCCTTAAGGAGTTCATTGCTAGTTTCTTCCATGAAGCTCTTTGTTTAATTTCAGCAGTACAAAATATATTTGTGAATTTTGCTTTTGCTTGTCACTCTTGTCTGCTGAGCTTGCTTTTTTGCTTGACTCTCTTCCTGTTGGAATAGTGCTTCCTCTGACAGCTATTCTTGCTGTTTCTTTGATTTCATAAACTGTTATCTCTTATGAACTAGAATGGGTCCACTCACTGCTCTAATCCTCTTTTTCAAGTTTCTGCTACAAACCTCTAGGTCAGTGATGGCGAACCTTTTAGAGACCGAGTGCCCAAAAACTGGCCCTGGCCCCGCTCCACCCCCCTGCCTGCCCCCGCTCTGCCCCCCCATCCACCACCCCGCCTGCCCACAGGACCATTCACCGCCTCCAGGGCCCGCCGCAGATCGCCCAGGCAGCCCAGCAATGCTATGGCGGCCACACCCTCTGCCCGCGCCCTGTAGCATCAACTGCATGATGGGATGTGAGGGCAGAGTCTTGTCTACGCTGCCTGGCTGCCATGTCCTTGGCTGCACTGCTCCGTGTGGGCCACGCTCGAGGGTGAGTCTCCTTCAGGGGGGCTGCTCGAGAGGGGGTCACAGGGAGAGGCAAGGCTGGGGCAATGGCATGTGTGCCCACAAAGAGGGCTCCGAGTACCGCCTCTGGCACCCATGCCATAGGTTTGCCACCACTGCTCTAGGTTATATTCAGGCAGGGAAGCAACCAGGCCACACACATTAGTAACAGTTGCAGTCCTTTGCAGATCCTGTCAGTTCATTTTCACTTCTTAAGACACTATTCATACCAATCCCTTGACTAAAAAGGTAAATTTATCAAACATTCTCCCTTATACAGTAAATTATCTTATTGAACTCCATTGACAGTTCATATTTGGCCTCTTTCTTCATCCATTTGCTTTTACAAGTTGAATTTTAAGTAACAGTAGGAGTACTACAGTTTTAATTGAGGTTTAATATAATTAAGGTATATTGTGTTATCTGGAAAAAAAATACTGTTATTCTCAGGATCTTTCTAATATACCAAATATTGTGACTTGCTACAGAAAATTGCACAGATGGTCCAACCCACGATACATTTAGAAATTTCTCACTTTGTGCATTCCGCTTTCTGAATGTTTTGCTTTTGGAAACTTGTACTTCATAACTGTACAAGAGTGAAGACAGCAGGCCACTTTATTATTTTTCTGTCTCTGAAGGAAGATAGCACATAGCACATAGCTACTAAAGATAGCACATAGCTACTAAAAGCAACTGCACGAAAAGCCATTCTCTTTTACCTTTTTTGCACCTTGATTAGCCTGCTGTAAACAACTGATACAATTCACAATTTGCTTGGACTGTCTGGTAAAGTTCAGTTTTTATTTAGTTTTTTTTATAAATAACTCAAGGCAGCAAACATTCCTAATATTTCTTCCTCATATTTTCTGAAAAACAACAACCCTGAAAATGGGTTAACTGAAAGAGTGACTGACTGAAGATCACCCAGCCATCTTACATGACTAAGATGGGACTAGAATTCATAAATCTTCTGGTTCTAGCCCGGCCCCTTACCACTAGATCAAACGGATAAAACAGTGTACCCTATGGTCTCAAACTGAGTGATACTGTGTAGAAAACCTTAATAGGGGGAATTCAGACTATTTCTCAAAAAGCTGCTTCTAGGAAATCCCATTTTTACAGTGGTACAAATGAAAACTAAGTTGGGTGATTAATAAATCATAGTTTATGGTTTACTGATCTATGGCCTATTTAATGATTTACTGTACTGTAAAACAAATTCACAAGACCATTAAGTGATTGTGAATATTTGCAGACCAATTTATTTTGCACCAGTTCTGAAGATAAACTTTTAAGATCCTTAAAATTGAAAAATCACAGTGATGTTGTTATAGTTTTGATCTAATCTGGCAAATTATTATAATCAGAACATGCCAATTTAACACACAACCATTTATAGTAGATACAGGTTTGTTCGCTTGTTTTCAATGTTGTAATTAATGTCCTACTTTTGTTAGGTTATGTGTGTTACGCAATACAGAAGGGAAAAGGAAAATCCTCCACCTGAGTATTCTGTGGCAGCTGAACAACTGCTAATTTGGCTCCTATCAGGAGCTCCTCAATATCAGAAATCCTATGGATGGTTGGTTTCAAAGAGTGCCATGTACTTCAGTGATATAGTTTCAAAATAGCCATGTAATTTCTTCCAAGCATGAAGAAGAGGAAAAATTATATATATATATATTGTTCTCAGGGCAGATAAAAGGCATATTGGGGATTCTTGGGCCCTTTAGCTATTTTCTTTTATCTGAAGTGTGCTTTTAACTTTATCACACTTCACTGCTTTTTCAACAGAATTATATTTAACTAGATTAAGAGTAATTACATTTTAAAATGAAGTTTCTGGTTTTCTTATTTTTTGCGGTTCACTGGGGACTAGAGGCTAAAACATACAAAGAACAGCTGCAAGAATTGGGTATGTCTAGTTTAATGAAGGACTAGGGGTGACATGATAGCAGTGTTCCAGAGAGAACCAACCTGAAACTAAGAAATTTCCTGGCAGTTAGAACAATTAGTCAGTAAAACGGCTTGCCTCCAGAAGTTCTAGGTGCTCCAATACTGGAGGTTGTTAAGAAAAGATTGGACAACCATTGAAAGAAATGGTACAGGGTTTCCTGCTTGAGCATGGGGTTGAACTAGAAGACCTCCAAGGTCCCTTCCAACTCTGTTATTCTGTTATCCCAATGCAGCTCCTATAAACAGGCATTTATATCAGGCTATTAAAATTCCAACTAGAAAATTTTATAATAGCTTGAAATAAAGTATATAGATACTAGAATGTTTGAAAATGGATTTTGTCTAGGGCCAGGTCAGTGCATACAACTGAAGTTCTATAAATAATACAAGGCTTTCATGTTTCTGACAGTTAAAACATTTCTCATGAAGTTTGTTTCCTGAACTCCATGGAAAAGCCTTGTTCACTTATCACAAGACTTTAACATTAGCGTATTCAACTCTGAAATATGGGTTATGTAGACCCCTATAAATATTACATGTATAATGTTCTGTTTGTCATTATGTATTTATAAGCAACAATCCCAAGTCAATGGAAAATCATATATCAATTGTCTTGACATTAAAAAAATCTTTCATTTTGAAAACATATCCACATATTTATTGCAGAAACCTTGAATTAATCCTTGATCCTTGAATTAATTACTACATTTTACCCTTTTCTTGACTTAATCATTTTCAATTTCTAATTCTTGACATACTCTCTCTGCCTTGTAGGATTTCCTACAAATATTTGACCTTGTAATATTGAATAAAGAGAATTGTGAGAAAATGTAATTATCTCTGTGTTCAAAGAAATTCATTAAAGCAAAAAGGATGGAGTGAGTGTAGAGAGAATAATCTAAACGGCACCTGAACTAGAAGTTGCAATGGAAATCTGAGGAGACCTATATCCATTATAACATGTTTTTTTTCCTCTGAGAACTTGGCATTAGGAATGATTTGTCTCTGGAGTTTCATAACTACATAGATATTTAAACAAATATTTCCTGCAGCTAAGCAATATAATGATGGAGTTTTCACTAGAAGTGTTCCTCTGTAAGGAAATATCTAGTAAAGGTCAAAAGACTGATCTGATCTAAAGAGAAACTAAAGTACAACTGGTTTTTAAATAGGTGAACAAAGCATTGTTTCCACAATTGTGAGTACTCATTACAATAGCAATAGCACTTAGACTTATATACTGCTTCACAGGGTTTTACAGCCCTCTCTAAGCGGTTTGCAAAGTCGGCATATTGCCCCAACAGTCTGGGTCCTCATTTTACCAACCTCGGAAGAATGGAAGGCTGAATCAACCTTGAATCGGTGAGACTCAAATGGTGATAAATGTTTTAAAGGTTTAAACCCATGTACGTCTAAATATTTTAAATGTGCTGGGACTGAAAAACCTATTAGATGAGCATTGATGGAGTGGAAGGTTTATGAATACTGTATACAGCTGTCTTCCTTACAAGCTTATCTGTAGCTTATCTGAAACTTGCTGCACAGCGTGCAGTTCACCTACTGTAGTATTTTCTGTACACACGAAATGT